CCAGAACGCAACTTCTCGGCGTACTACGCAAGGCCCGATTTGCCTAATAAGCCAAGTTTTACTGAATTATTATATTTTCTCTAATTTTTTTCTTATGAAATGATAAAGCTATCCATTTCATTATGTATGAGGTCAATTTTGTTTATTGGAGTTAAAATTAACGTAGATATATGACCGAATCTAACCAACCCTACCTAACCTAACTTATCTTTATAGGTTAGGTTAGGTTAGGTAGCCGAGAAAGCTAGGTTAGGTTAGGTTAGGTACTCGAAAAAGAATTAATTCATGAAACTTGGCTTTTTAGGCAAATCGGGCCTTGCATAGTAGGCCGAGTACGACGTTCTGGCTACTAGGTACGACATATATTATATATATATATATATAATATATAATATATATATATATATATATATATATATATATATATATATATATATATATATATATAGATATATGTATATATTATATATATATATATATATATATATATATATATATATATATATATATATATATATATATATATATATATATATATATATTTCTTCTAAGGGCTCCGTAAATAAATAATATATGTAATTAATGAAGTATTATATTATAGTTATCTTGGTAATGACTGATCGTTCTCTGCCTCGCCTCGGTTCATTAACCTACCTGATACATTGAAGACATTTATTATATATATTAAAACATTATATTTTATTAGCGCTCTTTTTCAAAATATTGAATTTCTAGGAAATTTACACAAAATTAATGGTAGATAATGCTTTAAAAACATTTGCATTTTTTTTAAATTTTTCAAATATTACTATATTTAAAAAAAATATTATTTTCTTTCCGCAGTAAACTGCTATATATGTACAAGTTTGTTCTTATATGAAACTGTTGAAAGTTTGTACCAAATTTAAAAAAAAAAAATTAAAATAATATACCTTCATAGACTAATAATCATTAATGACACTGCGGACGTTGAGCAGTTTCATGACGTGATTCCCCCTTATAATGGGGCCGCCCCCGACCCGCTTGTGACAGTCCTTCACACTCTAGAGTCAGAGAGAGAGACCCGGGGGTTGATATCTCGCCAGACCTCTCCCCTGAAGCCCATATCAAGAGGATAACATCAGCGGTATATGTCAGGTTGGCTAACATAAGAACGGCCTTTAGAAACTTGTGTAAGGAATCATTCAGAACTTTGTATACCACGTATGTCAGACCAATCCTGGATTATGCAGCTCCAGTATGGAGTCTGCATCTCGTCAAGCATAAGACTAAACTGGAGAAGGTTCGGAGATTTGCCACCAGACTAGTGCGAGAACAGAGGGGCATGAACTACGAGGAGAGACTACGAGAATTAAACCTCACTTCACTGGAAGACAGGAGAGTTAGGGGGGGGTTGGACAAGATCACCACATACAAGATTCTCAAAGGAACTGATAGGGTAGATAAAGACAGTTCATTAAACACAAGGGGCACACGCACTGGAGGACCCAGGTGGAAATTGAGTACCCTAATGAGCCATAAAGACGTTAGAAATAATTTGTTTACATAAGAGTAGTTAATTAACGGAATGCATTAGGCAGTGATGTGGTGGAGGCTGACTCCATACACAGTTTCAGGTGTAGATATGATAGAGCCAAGTAGGCTCAGGAACCTGTACATCAGTTGATTGACAGTTGAGAGGCGGGACCAAAGAGCCAGAGCTCAACCCCCGCAAGCATAAATAGGTGAGCACACACACACACACACACGTAACTCAGTGTAAACAGAGAGTTACAGTGAGGGGTGAGACCTCAGACTGGCATGAAGTCTCCAATGGAGTCCAATAGGGCTCTGTACTCGGACCTATCCTGTTTCTGACATACATAAATGATCCGCTTCCCTAACCTACTTGATACAGTGAAGATATTTATTACATGTACTAGCTGTACCCGGCCGCGCATTGCTGAGCCACAGCAACCTTCTCGTCCCCCAGTCCTCCCTACTGAAGAACTTACAAGGGAGGGTTAACTAGGGACGTTAGAAAGAACTTTTTCTGTGTCAGAGTAGTTAGCAGATGGAATGTATTAGACAGTGATATGGTGGAGGCTGATTCCATACACAGTTTCAAGTGTAGATATGATAGAGCCCAGTAGGCTCAGGAACCTGTACACTAGTTAATTGACAGTTGAGAAGCCGGACCAAAAAGCCAGAGCTCAACCCCCGCATGTCAGAGAACCCACAAGGAAGAGAGGAAACGATGAACCAGCGAGACTCGACCTAGTCTTCACTCTGAACGACTCCGACATAAGAGAAATCGGTTTTGAGACCCCAGGAGGAATGAGCGACTACAGTCTACTGGCGTTTGAGTACTTGGTTGAAGAAGGGTTATTGAACTCGAGGAAGGGTACTGAAAACAAAAGGCTGGCATTCCGAAAGGGAAACTATGAGGAGATAAGAAAATTCCTAACAGATATAGCATGGGAAACAGAGCTCAGGGGAAAGACGGCCCAAGATATGATGAACTACATTACGCAGAAGTGCAAGGAAGCAGCAAACAAGTTTGTCCCAGTTCAAAAGGAAAACAATGAAATGAAGATGAGAAACCCATGGTTTAATCAGAGATGTAGGCTAGCTAAGCAGCAAAGTAAAAGGGCATGGAGAAACTATAGGAATAACAGGACACTGGAGAGCAGAGAAAGATACCAGAATGCCAGGAATGAATATGTCAGGATGAGAAGAGAGGCAGAAAGACAATACGAAAATGACATCGCAAGCAAGGCAAAGACTCAGCCTAAATTGTTGCATAGCCACATTAGGAGAAAAACAACAGTAAAGGAACAGGTAATGAAATTAAAGATAGGAGCAGAAGGATTCATTACTAACGACAAGGAAGTGTGTGAGGAACTGAATAAGAAATTTCAGGAGGTCTTCACCTTAGAGCAAGTAGAAATTCCAGAGATAAGAGAGGGAATAGCTAACCAGGAACCACTGGAAGAGTTTGAGATTACCAGCGGGGAAGTAAGGAAGTGTTTACTAGAGTTGGATGTGACAAAGGTTATAGGCCTAGATAGAATCTCCTTTTGGATGCTAAAGGAAGGAGCAAAAGAACTGTGCCTGCCACTCTCCATAGTGCATAACAAATCACTGGCAACAGGGGAACTGCCAGAAATTTGGAAAGCAGCTAATGTAGTCCCGATATACAAGAAAGGGGATAGACAGGAGGCACTGAACTACAGGCCAGTGTCCCTAACCTGCATACCATGCAAGCTGATGGAGAAGATTGTGCGAAGAAAGCTAGTGGAACATTTGGAGCGAAAGAACTTTGTAACACAGCATCAACATGGGTTCAGGGATGGCAGGTCCTACCTCACAGGGTTACTTGAATTCTACGACCAGGCAACAAAAATCAGGCAAGAAAGAAAGGGGTGGGCAGACTGCATATTTTTGGATTGCTAGAAAGCCTTTGATACAGTGCCACACAAGAGGCTAGTGAAAAAGCTGGAGATGCAGGCTCCGCAAACACAAACAGGTGAGTACAAATAGGTCAGTAGATACACACACACACAGGCTGGGGCGCCTGGTGGCTGAGTGGACAGCACGCTGGAAACGTAGTCCTGTAGACCAGGGTTCGATCCCCACCGATGGCGAAAAACAAATTGGGCATAGATTCTTTCACCCTGATGCACCTGTTACCTAGCAGTAAATAGATACTTGGGAGTAAGACAGCTGTTACGGGCTGCTTCCTGTGTGTGTGTGTGTGTGTGTGTGTGTGTGTGTGTGTGTGTGTGTGTGTGTGTGTGTGTGTGTGTGTGTGTGTGTGTGTGTGTGTGTGTGTGTGTGTGTGTGTGTGTGTGTGTGTGTGTGTGTGTGTGTGTGTGTGTGTGTGTGTGTGTGTGTGTGTGTGTGTGTGTGTGTGTGTGTGTGTGTGTGTGTGTGTGTGTGTGTGTGTGTGTGTGTGTGTGAAAAAAATAGTTAATAGTTAGTAACAGTTGATTGATTGACAGTTGGCAGGTGGGCCGAAAGAGCCCACAGTTGACCAGACACCACTGAAACTTAGCAAGGGGTTAACCTGGCACCCCTGAAACTTAGTAAGGGGTTAACCTGGCACCCCTGAAACTTAGCAAGGGGTTAACCTGGCACCCCTGAAACTTAGTAAGGGGTTAACCTGGCACCCCTGAAACTTAGCAAGGGGTTAACCTGGCACCCCTGAAACTTAGCAAGGGGTTAACCTGGCACCCCTGAAACTTAGTAAGGGGTTAACAGTGGCACCCTGAAACTTAGCAAGGGGTTAACCTGGCACCCCTGAAACTTAGTAAGGGGTTAACCTGGCACCCCTGAAACTTAGTAAGGGGTTAACCTGGCACCCCTGAAACTTAGCAAGGGGTTAACCTGGCACCCCTGAAACTTAGTAAGGGGTTAACCTGGCACCCCTGAAACTTAGCAAGGGGTTAACCTGGCGCCCCTGAAACTTAGCAAGGGGTTAACCTGGCACCACTGAAACTTAGCAAGGGGTTAACCTGGCACCACTGAAACTTAGCAAGGGGTTAATCTGGCACCACTGAAACTTAGTAAGGGGTTAACCTGGCACCACTGAAACTTAGTAAGGGGTTAACCTGGCACCACTGACACCTAGCAAAGGTTAATCTGGCATCACTGAAACTTAGCAAAGGTTAATCTGGCATCACTGAAACCTAGCAAAGGTTAATCTGGCATCACTGAAACCTAGCAAAGGTTAATCTGGCATCACTCAAACCTAGCAAAGGTTTAATCTGTCACCACTGAATCCTAGCAAAGGTTAATCTGGCATCACTGAAACTTAGCAAAGGTTAATCTGGCATCACTGAAACCTAGCAAAGGTTAATCTGGCATCACTGCATCCTAGCAAGGGGTTAATCTAGCACCACTGAAACATCAGCAACAGTTCATTTGTCACCACTAAAACCTAGCAAGGGGTTAATCTGGCATCATTGCCCCGTGTGGAGTGCCCCGGGCAGCTAAGTTTAGCAGCCTAGCGCAGTCACGAGGGCGAGCCTGGCTGACACACACACGGCTCTGTGTCTCTCTCGCACTTCCTCGGTTCTCTGTGTCTCAAACCCTAGAAACACTTAATGGTATCCGAGTTTACACCAGATTGCTTAAAGCTGGTTTACGTAAACGTGTGGTAGGAAAATTTGTGTGTGGAATTTATCTCTCTCTGTCAAGGCTCTGGACTTGTGAGTTTTACAATTGTGAAGTTAGTGGAATTTATAGGATAGAAAATATGCCTTTTTCTGTTTATATATTACAATTTATTCCTATTTAAGCAATTTATATTATCGTATTTGTTAATGTCTTATATTTTAAGACATTAAATTTTAAGACATGTCTTTACATATTAAAGGCACATTTTAAACACGTCATCTTATGTTCATAATATTGAAGTGTTTGAAATACGAATATATCGTTTGAAAGCTTAGTCTTCAGCTTTATATGGTCAGTGTAAGTCTTAGATATTACTGGACGACATCAGTGTAAGTCTTAGATATTACTGGACGACATCAGTGTAAGTCTTAGATATTACTGGACGACATCAGTGTAAGTCTTAGATATTACTGGACGACATCAAGTAAGCCACCTGACGGGACTCCTGATACAAGTAAGCTTGCTGTAAGCCACATATCAACCCATTTTGTCATTGATGAAAGTATTTATAGAAACTATTTTGATGAAAGTTCAATTATGTCGTGATGGACCACCAGAAAGTTAACGTTTGTATTGTTGAATTTAGACAAACAGGAAACTCATATATTAGCACTATAACTGTATAAGACTTATATATATATATATATATATATATATATATATATATATATATATATATATATATATATATATATATATATATATATATATATATATATAACTGTATAAGACTATATATATATATATATATATATATATATATATATATATATATATATATATATATATATATATATATATATATATATATATATATATATATATATATATATATATATATATATATATATATATATATATAGATATATATATAATTACTGAAACATCATATTATACCTATCTTCATAATGACAATTCATTCTCTACCACGCATCGCTTCCATATCCTACTTGCTTCAATGAATGTATTTAATACATATACTGAAACATTGTATTTTAATATCGCTGTTTTAGGAAATGTTAAATTTCCAGATAATTACACAAAATTAATTTTAGAAAAAGACTTAAAGATAATTTGCAAATTTACAAAATCTCCTAAAATATTACCATACTTAAGAAAGTAGTTATTTTCATTCCGCAGAAAACAGAAATATATTAACAAATTTCGTTTCACATAATAGCTGCGTGCTGTCTTGGTAAATTTTTGAAAAAAAATAAAAATCTTTAACTATTAATCCTTCATACTTTGATGAACGTTAATGACACCGTGGAAGATAACAAGTTTCATGACGTGATTCCCCCTTATAATGGGGCCGCCCCCGACCCGCTTGTGACAGTCCTTCACACTCTAGAGTCAGAGAGAGAGACCCGGGGGTTGATATCACGCCAGACCTGTAACCTGAAGCCCATATCAAGAGGATAACATCAGCGGAAAATAAATGGGCAGAATTTCCTTCACTCTGATGCCCCTGTTACCTAGTAGTAAATAGGTACCTGGGAGTTAGACAGCAGTTACGGGCTGCTTCCTGGGAGTGTGTTTGAAAAAAAAATGATTGTTGATTGAGAGTTGAGAGGCGGGCCGTGAGAGCCAGAGCTCAACCCCCGCAAGCACAACTAGGTGAATACACCTAGTGGGAAAATGGAATGCACTTCAGGAACAGGTTGTGGAAGCAAATACTATTCATAATTTTAAAACCAGGTATGATAGGGAAATGGGACAGGAGTCATTGCTGTAAACAACTGATGCTCGAAAGGCGGGATCCAAGAGTCAATCCTCGATCCTGCAGACACAACTAGGTGAGTACACAGGGTGTGGTAATGTTTACTATGAGCTAAGTATAGCATGAGCGACCAGCGCTGGTCCCTAGACGTTATGCTGTGCTGGGAGCAGGCTAGGTAGAGACACCACAGTGCTGGGAGCAGGCTAGGTAGAGACACTACAGTGCTGGGAGCAGGCTAGGTAGAGACACCACAGTGCTGGGAGCAGGCTAGGTAGAGACACCACAGTGCTGGGAGCAGGCTAGGTAGAGACACCACAGTGCTGGGAGCAGGCTAGGTAGAGACACCACAGTGCTGGGAGCAGGCTAGGTAGAGACACCACAGTGCTGGGAGCAGGCTAGGTAGAGACACCACAGTGCTGGGAGCAGGCTAGGTAGAGACACCACAGTGCTGGGAGCAGGCTAGGTAGAGACACTACAGTGCTGGGAGCAGGCTAGGTAGAGACACTACAGTGCTGGGAGCAGGCTAGGTAGAGACACCACAGTGCTGGGAGCAGGCTAGGTAGAGACACCACAGTGCTGGGAGCAGGCTAGGTAGAGACACCACAGTGCTGGGAGCAGGCTAGGTAGAGACACTACAGTGCTGGGAGCAGGCTAGGTAGAGACACCACAGTGCTGGGAGCAGGCTAGGTAGAGACACCACAGTGCTGGGAGCAGGCTAGGTAGAGACACCACAGTGCTGGGAGCAGGCTAGGTAGAGACACATCTATGCCACAGTGCTGGGGGCATGGGATTGACAGGGAGAGAAGAAAGGAGTGGGGGGGGATATGATAGGAACGTATAAAATACTCAGGGGAACTGACAGAGTGGAAATAGACGAAATGTTCGCCAGGAATACTAACAGAACAAGGGGACATGGGTGGAAGCTGCTAACTCAGATGGGTCACAGAGATGTTTGCAGGTTTTCATTTAGCGTGAGAGTAATGTGGCGACGGAGTGAACTTAAGGAGCAGGCTGTGGAAGTAAACACTATTCACAGTTTTAGAACTAGATATGATAGGGAAATAGAACAGGAATCATTGTTATAAACAATCAGTGTCTTGATAGACGGAATCCAAGAGCCAATGCTCGGTCTTGCAGGCACAAATAGTTGAGAACACACACACACAATTACAGGGCATGATGGACTATGTTACCCAAAAGTGTCAGGAGGCAGTAAACAGGTTCATCCCGGCCCAAAGGGAAAAATCCGAGAAGCAACAGAAGAATCCATGGTATAATAGGGCATGTATGGAAGCGAAGAAACTGAACAAAAGGGCGTGGAGGAACTTCCGGAATAACAGAACACCAGAAAGCAGAGAGAGATACCAGAGAACCAGGAATGAGTACGTCAGGGTGAGAAGAGAAGCAGAGAAAAGTTTTGAAAATTATATAGCAAACAAAGCCAAGACCGAACCAAAGCTACTCCACAGTCACATCAGAAGGAAAACAACAGTGAAAGAACAGGTATTGAAACTTCGAACAGGCGAGGACGGGTATACTGAGAATGACAGAGAGGTGTGTGAAGAACTCAACAAGAGGTTCCAGGAGGTCTTCACAATAGAACAAGGTGAGGTCACTGTGCTAGGAGAAAGGGAGGTAAACCAGGTGGCCTTGGAAGAGTTCGAAATTACGAGAGAGGAGGTCAAGAGACACCTGCTGGATCTGGATGTTAGAAAGGCTGTTGGTCCATATGGGATCTCACCATGGATACTGAAAGAGTGTGCAGAGGCACTTTGCTTGCCACTCTCCATAGTGTATAGTAAGTCACTGGAGACGGGAGACCTACCAGAAATATGGAAGACGGCGAATGTGGTCCCAATATACAAAAAGGGCGACAGGCAAGAGGCACTGAACTACAGGCCAATGTCCTTGACTTGTATACCATGCAAGGTGATGGAGAAGATCGTGAGAAAAAACCTGGTAACACATCTGGAGAGAAGGGACTTCGTGACAAATCGCCAACATGGGTTCATGGAGGGTAAATCTTGCCTGACTGGCTTGATAGAATTCTACGATCAGTTGACAAAGATTAAGCAAACAAGAGAGGGCTGGGCGGACTGCATTTTCTTGGATTGTCGGAAAGCCTTTGACACAGTACCGCATAAGAGGCTGGTACATAAGCTGGAGAGACAGGCAGGTGTAGCTGGTAAGGTGCTCCAGTGGATAAGGGAGTATCTAAGCAATAGGAAGCAGAGAGTTACGGTGAGGGGTGAGACCTCCGATTGGCGTGAAGTCACCAGTGGAGTCCCACAGGGCTCTGTACTCGGTCCTATCTTGTTTCTGATATATGTAAATGATCTCCCGGAGGGTATCGATTCATTTCTCTCAATGTTTGCGGACGATGATAAAATTATGAGAAGGATTAAAACAGAAGAGGACTGTTTGAGGCTTCAAGAAAACCTAGACAAGCTGAAGGAATGGTCGAACAAATGGTTGTTAGAGTTTAACCCAACCAAATGAAATGTAATGAAGATAGGTGTAGGGAGCAGGAGGCCAGATACAAGGTATCATCTGGGAGAGGAAATTCTTCAGGAGTCAGAGAAGGAAAAAGACTTGGGGGTTGATATCACGCCAGACCTGTCTCCTGCAGCACATATCAAGCGGATAACATCAGCGGCATATGCCAGGCTGGCCAACATACGAACGGCATTCAGAAACTTGTGTAAAGAATCATTCAGAACTTTGTATACCACATATGTCAGGCCAATCCTGGAATATGCAGCCCCAGCATGGAGTCCATATCTAGTCAAGGATAAGACTAAACTGGAAAAGGTTCAAAGGTTTACCACCAGACTAGTACCCGAGCTGAGAGGTATGAGCTATGAGGAGAGACTACGGGAATTAAACCTCACTTCGCTGGAAGACAGAAGAGTTAGGGGGGACATGATCACCACATTCAAGATTCTGAAGGGAATTGATAGGGTAGATAAAGACAGTCTATTTAACACAAGAGGAACACGCACAAGGGGACACAGGTGGAAACTGAGTGCCAAAATGAGCCACAGAGATATTAGAAAGAACTTTTTTAGTGTCAGAGTGGTTGACAAGTGGAATGCATTAGGAAGTGATGTGGTGGAGGCTGACTCCATACACAGTTTCAAGTGTAGATATGATAGAGCCCGATAGGCTCAGGAATCTGTACACCTGTTGATTGACGGTTGAGAGGCGGGACCAAAGAGCCAGAGCTCAACCCCCGCAAGCACAACTAGGTGAGTACACACACACACACACACAGACAAGCTGGGGAGCCTGGTGGCTTAGTTGACAGCAACG